GAATACTGGAGTGGGTAGCCTTTCCCTTCTCCAGGGGATCTTCCCAACCCAAGATCGAACCCAGGTCTCCTCCAGTGCAGATGGAGGAGCCATCTAAGCCACCACACAAGTCCATCTATTGGATAACCCTTCAATTATTTTATGCTGATAAGGAACAGAATAAGGTAAGAAGAGTGGACTTACAACTAAAGGCTTAACCTTGAAAAGAATTAGGACACATATTTTAAAGCCAATTTCACATCTGCAGCAGGCTTATTTTCAGCCTCTTCACAGTTAGAAAATACCAAAACCATTTCATCGCATTTGAACTTTTATGTTTAACGAAGTCCATGAAAGATGTTCAGATGTTCTTTCCTAGGTTATACTTCAAGGGCTGTTCTGTATAAATGCAGATTTCTTATTCTCCTTCTAAGAGGCTTAGAGTTTTGTTGTAGGAAAGCCTAGCATCAATTAAACTTTAAATTTCATTCTGTAAGAAAGTTTGGATATAATTATGTCACATTTTTGGCAGATTAATCCTCACGATAGATTGTGCTTTCACATTGCAAATGTCGCCGAAAAGTTTTGTGTTACTTTAAATTCCAGAATAATGGTGGAGGAAAGCTAGCAATGCTGTGACTGATAAACAAAGGGAATATGATTAATACATTAAAAAGATAATAGAATTTTAATTCATCTCACTAAGCTAGAGACTTATATTTGGTTTACCATCCTTGAGAATTTCCCTTTTATTTTTTTAATCATCCTTCCTTTTAGGAGAAGCATTCAAACAGTGAGATTTTCAAAGCTGCTTTTTAGCTAACACTTGTGGTCGGAAAGTTCTTATGAAAATCATCAGTGGGGATGATGTTATTTGTACAAAAGAAAAACATATCAGTCATCCAGTTCTGTTGAGGTACCGTTGACCTGGCTGTCAATACCGTGTTAATTTCCAACCGGGGGGCAGTAGCGTGTGGCCACTGGGCAGCAGAAGGGACTTGGCCATTTTTCATTAGCGCCTGGACTTTGATAGAGGGGGATGGAAAAGAGCTGCCTGACCTTTCAGTGCTTAAATTATTAAAGAGCAAATAGATTTGAGGTCTGGATGCTTGCAAATCTAATTTGTCTCGTGGAGCAAGGATGAAAAGACATTCTGGGTTTGAAATTGCTCTGGTCTACTTACTTCTTCCTTTAATATATCTGAAGATGAGTAGATGGTGGCTATTTAAGAAGTAATATATCTGGAGTAGAGTGTATGGCCTAACATGCCAACTGGCTAAAATCAAGGCCCGTTAAATAATCATTTAATCTTTGAATTTTCATATGATCCTCATAAACTTGCTGATTGGAAAAATTAATTCTTTCCATTCATATTCACTTAGATGGCATTTCAATTCCAAAACGAAACTGTCTTTCTCTTGTCGTTGTTCAGTCACTAAGTCGTGTCCGACTCTTTGAGACTCACCGGAATGTAGCCCGTCAGGCTCCTTTGCCTATGGGATTCTCCAGGCAAGAAAACTGGGGTGGATTGCCGTTCCCTTCTCCAGAGGATATTCCTAACCCATGGATCAAACCTGTGTCTCCTGTATCGGCAGGTGGATTCTTTACCGCTTAGCCACCTGGGAAGCCTTAGGGAGTGTCAGATATTTTGTTCAAGTTAAGGCAGGGCAGTGCCTGCCACATGCTAGAGGCTCAAAAAATATTTATTGAATTAATAAAAGAGTAGCATTGGGGAAAACTAGCAAAGGTGGGGGTTGGAAATGGATGAAAAGTGAGACGTGGAGGTGATGGAAGAGGGGGTAGAAGAAACAGATGCAATTTCTGGTCCTCTCCAGTTCTTGTTTATTTGTGGGTCGTACAGCATAGACTTGCAATCTAACCAGCATTATCTTATCACAGAACTTCTCCTTGGTAATTTCCTCCTCTCTCAGGTCTTGTGTACTCAGGAAATGAATACAGAATAGGCTTGGTATTAGATTTTAGTAAAGCAAAATGTATTATTAGCAATTATCAGTATATTTCCTCCCTATATATTACATACAAGGTACATAAAGTAGAAATTACTTCTGGATTATGTTACATTTTCAAAAATATATACTTCATGGCCCACTTCATTCTAAGTCTCACAAGATACAGAAATGACTGTCTCATCTGATGGTCAGGAGACCATGTCAGCTATTACTTAACTATGTGCCCCAAAGAGAATGGGCACTTCACCTCTGAACCTCAGTTTTCTCATCAGTAAAACCAGAAAATAAAACCTACATATGCAAGGCTCCTGGGCTAGTATTTCCTATATGAAATAATTTCTGTAATTTTTTTCTTTGCATAAATCTTCATATCTCTACATTATCTACTGTAGTACACTAGACTTCCAAGTTCTTCTTAAAGTGGAATTTGGAACATTGTGTCATATAGCAAATAAACTGGAAAAGATTTCTAATAGAAGAAAGCCAATGTTAAAAGTTATTTAATGGAGAATCTCTCTGCAAAGTAATGAATTCTTTTTTGATTTGTCCATCTTGCAAGAGTAGTCTTTGTATGCTGAATACAAAAATATAAAATGTACCTTGGAGATCCATCTGATTGTCTCATTTCATCGGAAAAATATAAGATCCAAAGACATTAATTTCGAAGCCAGATTTTAGCAGCATTAGGAGTAGAGCTTAAATGGTGCACATGCCAGTGTCCGCCACCCCAACAGCAGGCCCTGCAGAAGAGTCACAGTTTCTCAGCTGATGCTTGCACTTCTCTGACTGAAGCCTTGAGAGTTGCACATTGTCCTTCTCTTACGTTCTGCTGGTTGCATGCCATCATCAAGGTTAGCCAATCCCACACTCGGTGGAGAAGTGTCCAAGAACTTGCAGATCTATTATAATTGCCACATCTGACTGTAGATATAAGAGGTCAGAGAGAAGGGGGTGTGAAGTCAAAGTCCCCTTTCACCTCTGTCTGTGTTCCTTGTCCCTGACCCCTATAGGAAGGTCCTCCCTAACCTTCCTTTCATGTTGCATCCATCCTGTAGGTGAGAACGCCACAGGGTTTGGTGGAACATCCTGCAGGAACGGTAAAAAGTCTTGAGGTCAGAAAGAGTCCTGTTTTCTTTTCTGAGTTTACCTCCCTTTGTCATCACACTGTAATCCTGCTGGACCCCCTGCCTCGTGAGCAATCAGTTTCATGTTCTACAACCATCCGTTTTTATTGGAACAGAATCACAAAGTGAACGGCTGCTGCTTGGCATGGCCGTAATAGAATGTGCTAAGTGGTTATACTTCCAGAAACAGGAGATTCACCAGGTGCAGATCCCAAGTTCACAGGGACAGGAGCATAGAGAGAGACCTCCCCTCACTGACTCCAGCTGATGGGGGTGGAAAGCACCTCCCTCCTGTTCTGTTTCCCCAGCTGAAACGAGTGTCCGTGCTGAGCAATCCCAGGATTACAGAGTTGTGCTCGGGGAGTCACGGTGCTTTTCTGATAAAGTAAGAAAAAGATACATCTCCTTGTCAGAAGAACTTGCAATATAATCTGGATTCAATTTTTCAAAACTGCTGCCAAGGTTTCTCTGTATTAGAATCATTTTTTTTCTCCAACCAAACTGCACAGAAGTTCATCATTCTAGTAAATATATGCATCTCAGTAAAGAAATCCATCCCTTCAAGGTCTCTCCCAGTCTCCTAAGGCTAATTCAAAATTCACAAACATTGAAAAGGGGTGCAGAGAGAAAGGTGGGTAGGAACCAGGAGACCCAGTCCTCCCAGGGGACATCTGAACTCACAGCATCTTCTGAGGATACTCAGCCCCATCTTATTTTTGTATGTAATTCAAATGCCCTGTTTATGATTTCCTCTTAGAAACTGCTTTTGACTCCAAGTTGTTGGCTTTTGAAATGCAGATGCCTTTTTCCTGCATTCCTAACATCCTGTCTTTCCACTGACCGATTATGGTGAATGCAAAGGAACATAAGAAAATATGGGTTCCTTTCTATGGCTGAGTAATATTCCACTGTGTATACGTACCACAACGTCTTTATCCATTCATCTGTTGATGGGCGTCTAGGTTGCTTCCATGTCCTAACTGTTGTAAATAGTGCTGCAGTGAACATTGGCGTGCATGTGTCTTTTTCAGTTAGTTTAATATATGTGGAATATAGAAAGATGGTACTGATGAGCCTATCTGCAGGGCAGCAGTGGAGCTGCAGACATAGAGAACAGACTTGTGGACATAGTGAAGGAATGAGAGGGTGGGACGAATTGAGAGAGTAGCATGGAATCATGTACATTAGCATATGTAAAATAGATAGCCAGTGGAAATTTGATGTATGACACAGGGAGCTCAAATCTGGTGCTCTGTGATGACCTAGAGGGGTAGGATTGGGTGGGAGATGGGAGGCAGGTTCAAGAAGGAGGGGACATATGTATCCCTATGGCTGATTCGTGTTGATGTATGGCAGAAACCAAAACAATATTGTAAAGCAATTATCCTCCAATTAAAAATAGATTTAAAAACATATATATATATATGGAAGTTACACCTTGGTTAGCCTGAGTCATCACACCTTGTATCTTGTGACCTGATAAAAAATTCACAGGTGTTCATACGGATGTCACTGAAGAAAATGTTATGTTGCCTTTTTCAATGAACTTACAGCTAATATAGTTTCATTGATTGGTTAAACCGAGTCCATTTTGTACAAATTCAACTTCAATACCATATAAGAGGAACATTATCTTGGTGTTCTGCTCACATCAACAGGTAAAATTAAATGTTTTAACTATGGTGAATTTTCTTTCCCTCCAGAAATTGTCTCATTTGGGGTTAGAGAGTTCTGTGGAAGAACTCTAAGCACTTTCTGTCTCTTTCATGGAGCAAGTGTGGGGTCCATGTCCGCTAGGCACGAAGCCCTTATTACTAATTCTGTCCTTATTGTTTATCTGGGGTGACCTATGGGTCTGTGCAGTTGAACACAATGGGGTTCAGCTCTGTTTTCCTGAACAGTCACTGAGGATACTCTTTTTTTCTAGTGTCTACCAAATAGTGGTCGAGGAAGAGCGTCCTCGAAGAACGAAAAAGACCACAGAAATCTTAAAATGCTACCCGGTACCCATCCACTTCCAGAACGCCTCCATACTGAATTCCCAGTACTACTTTGCAGCAGAATTCCCAGCCAACAGCCTCCAAGCGGCTCAGCCCTTTACTATTGGTGATAATAAGACTTACAACGGGTACTGGAACACCCCTCTCCTTCCCCATAAAAGCTACAGAATTTACTTCCAAGCAGCTAGTAGAGCCAATGGGGTAAGTTTTATAAATGGCTGTTTACTTAGGCTGTTCAGGATTATTAATACGAACCCAGTCAAATCACATATTGTAGTCGTAAGAAGGGAAGTCATGCTTTTGTGTGTTTTTACTTGAAATAAATGTATTTTATTCTCTCTTTTAAAAAATTATTTTCACCTGGAGAAATTCCTGGGAAGAAGCAAATATATTCATATATGGAAGAATATATTGTCAACGGGATGGTTTTTATTTTCAGTTTTTACTTGTTACCAAAAGTTGGCTAGTAATTCTGCTTAGCTTACTATTTTACAGGAAAACAGCACAGCTCCAGCACGTACATTCAGCTCATTTACAATTTTGTGAGATTCACAACATCTGGCTTTTCAGCATATTCTGTCCCATTTCTTTGGTGCCACAAGAGTTTATGCTTCCTATAGCTGGGACTAAATTAGTTATCTTTTTTTTTTCTTTCCTAAGAGAAAACAGCTTTAGAAAGATAAGATGGAAACAAAATACAAACTATCGAGTTGTTTTTGAATTTTTCTTCCCTTTCCTGTTTAGACTGACCCAGAGCTCTCATGAGACAAGAAAGTTTTTCCCTTCACAGTGTGGGTCTCGGCACCACGACTGCCTTTGGCCAGTGAGAAGCAGGGATCAGGGAGACAGGTTTTCCCCACGAGTGTTTGCACAGGGAGTCAGTGAGGGATCTGGAGAAGGGAGTTGGGGGCCCCCACCAGGCGGAGGCGATTCTGTGCATAGCTCCTACCCACCACCTGCTGCCGGGTACCCACAAGCAGCACCACCGCCAGCCCTGGAGCCAGAAAATGTATCAGAGCACAGTCCAGGGAGTAATCACGTGTGATTAATGCCACTTTTGGAAGTGAGACCTCCCCTTATCTGTATTTAAGGAGAACTGCAGAAATTTTATTTGTTTCAGAGAAAACATGAATAGTGATTTTTCTCCCCTCTTTATTTAACACAGGAAACCAAAATAGACTGTGTCCGAGTGGCCACAAAAGGTAGGTTGAAACTGTGGGTTGTTCTGATTTCTGTCCTCTCCAATTTTAGGCGGTATTTCAAAACTTCTTGAAATATTCACATCACTGAAAGAAGTGTGTTGGACGTGTGTGTGTTTCCATGTATGTACTAGGATTGTATGGCAGTGAACTGTGTTTCACATAGTTTTTTTTTTTCAAATAAGAAGTCATATTGCTGTGTTTCAAAGCAGTTTTCAATGGTTATCTTTTAAAAAATTCTATTAAAATAGAGTTACTTTTTATATGATCTCCTATCTGTGTTTTAAACCACAGTGGACCCTACCTAGTAATACTGGGTTCAGTGAACTTCAGATGCAGGACAGTAAATTACCTCTTGCTATTTTAAAGCAATTTATTGTTTAGTTGCTAAGTTGTGTCCAACTCTTTTTGCAACACTATGGACTGTAGCCTGCCAGGCTCCTCTGTCTGTGGGATTCTCCAGGCAAGAATACTGGAGTGGGCTGCCATTCCCTTCTCCAGGATACCTTCCCAACCAAAGGATCAAACCAAAGTGTCCTGCATTGGCAGGCAGATTCTTTAATGTTGAGCCGCCAGGGAAGCCCTTTAAAGCAGTTATCTGGTTATAATCTGTAAAGCAGAGTCTGCTTGGGCTCTTCTCACTGGGGACGTGTGTCTATCTCAACCCAGGGACCAGGAGATGTTACTGTGGAGCTTCTGTTTCCCTGGCCTGGTTATCATCCTGAAAAAATGTGATCAAGGAAGAGATGTAGATTAGGGTGAATCAGCATAAACTCAACACCTCCTAAAGAAGAGACTGCAGGGGTGTGTGTGTATACATGCTATGACGTCATCTTGTCAACCTTGCAGTGTACTTTTAACCATCCCAAGTGGAAGTGTGTAAATGCCTTGAGAAATGCCCAAAGCTACTTGAAAACAAGGCAGCATACGTTAACACCTGTAGTTAAATACACTCTTTCAGATCATTAGACGAGACATGAGGACAGTGAGCAAGTATCGTGAGGCTGAATTTAGAAAGGACGGCAGAAAGCTCCAGGTTTCCTCAGATCACAGGGACTCCCTCGATGACTTCTGTTGGATGAAAATATCTTGTTGTTTTTGTTGTTTGACGTTCAGACAGTAGAGTTTAAATAGATTACAGGTGCCCATTGGCATTTTCAAAATTCTCATTTTCTGAAGATACATGACCTCTTTATCCCGTTGACTTGACAGATATTCTTGGTTTCATATTATGTGTCAGGCCTTGTGGGATGTACTTAGCTCATTTATATTTTGTTTGTCCTCATGGGCTCATAGCTCTATTTCCAAGAATCTCCTTATATTGATTTTAAAATACTCAGTTCTTTATATCATGTTGTACTTGATTAGGAGCCTTTATTTGTAGGGCTAAACTAATTTTTAAAAAATGGAGTTACAGACATTGATGTGTTTTCTAAATTGTAATTCCTTTTAACTGTTAATTATTACAGTATGATAAGGCCTTTGAGTGAGGTGTTAACCGTCTTAGGCCTCCAGATCATGACCCATGCTCAGATTGCTTTATTGAGTTCTGAAAAGCCAGTTCCAGAATGCCTAATTTATAATGCCTTGCCTTTAATGTCACAGCTGAAAGTTAAAATTGCCTTCATATGCATGTTCTCATTTATTTCTTCTAAATTACTGTGAAAGCAGAGATACAAATTGCTATTTTTTTGAGATAAAAAAATGCATATTTGGGGAGATGAATTGACCTGCCAACGACACTCATCTAATAATCTGTGGGTCAAGGCTTGATCCCAAGTGTTTGGACTCCTACACCAGTGTTTCCCTGTATCTCCTGGCTTTTCACCAGGCAGATCCTCTGGCCACTCGTGATTTTGCAGTGTACGAGTATCTGTCCTCATTTTTACTAAAACTGAGTCAGTGCCCAGTTGACTCAAAACAACAAAATATCTGCTATCCTGTTCATTTGCACAGTTAGGTAATTATATAAATAACACACTAGTAAACATGGAAATCTGATGTTTGCTGTTTTCACAATAGATTGAATTAGATGGTGATTTGGATGGTTTTCTTCCATCATCAGCTAGATTTAATCAATATTGTAATTTGTTTTTCAATTCACCAAAGGATGATTAAGCAATCAGATGACCTGATTGACTAAATATTTCCCCGCTCAGATTTTCTGAGTCAATTTGCAAACATTTACACAGCAACAAACTCTATTCTGTCAAATAAACTTTGGGGAGAAAGAGGGAAGTAGATTTTAATATTCATTGCATCCCATTGTTATTCCTATTCATAAAATCATCACACAGGAGGGAGCCTTGGGAAATACACTCCTTGTGGGTGAAGCTACAATGTTTGATACTATTTTATTTCATTAATTTCTACATTTACAGATTCAGCAACCTTCCTTTACTGCACTGTCTAATGTTTCATCACCTTTATAATCAGATAATTTTTTCTGATTGATACTAAAATTGATTTTGCAATGAAGGAAGCCATTCCATCTTGACCAGTCAAAACAGAGAAACAGACAGGTCTGATAATGTTACTGACACCATATCGTAAAGATGTTTGAAATTTAAAAGAGTTCAGACATCTTGACTGTTTCTGTCACGTATTGCTGACAGTATAGTGGCTTAATTGAGTTTTCAGACACTAAACCACTTTCCTAAGCAGCATTTTGAATTTACAAAGATTTCAATGTTCTCATGAAACAACTGTTGACATGTACCTTCATAGAGCAAGTATGGAAGTAGATTTTTTTCCACAAGGAACTAATTTGTCTCTTTTCCACAAGGAACTAATTTAACAGATATGTCTCTTAAAGATGTATTTCATGCTAATTTGAAATTTAATGTAGTGATTATTTTAATCATATTTCAAGGGTATGTTTTGGCACTAGTCATCTCAAATATAAAGCCTTGTAAAAACTGGACACAGGAAAATACCTAAGGTGTGTTATTACATGTCTTTATATGTTGAAGAATCATCTGTATTTTTATGTATCTTCCTTTAATGTATATATCTAATTTCCTCATGAGTATATGTAGCTTTATTTTGATTGTTAGCTATAGGCAAACTCTTTGCAGAATATTCTCTTACATTAAAAAGACATTGTATGATGACAATATATTAATACTTGATGTTTGGGGGTTACTCTCCCAGTTCATAGAATTCTTTTTAATCTTTATGGTAGAGTACATAGAAATTTTCCTAGTTTTTATTTTTGATTTTTAGTTACATTCACATGTTTATAGTTGAATTCTTTTTAAGACCACTTGACCAACTGTGTCTTAAGAATCAGTGTACATCCCTTATGGCTGCCTTATGGTAACTAGTAGGGTGGAAACTCCTTTCTGCTAATTTTGGAAGACTTTGTTGATAATCAATTCTAAACTGAGAGGATACACTTAAAAGTAAAAATCTGTTTTGTTAGCCGGTTACAATTTTTGTCTTAAATGAGGTATAGTCATTCCAACTGATACAATAATTAGTTTAAACTGTATACTTTGCCTTAATCTCCTATAAAATAATGTTTTCCATGACATGAATCCAGCTTTGTTTCTCCTTGACAATATATACGTTTGGAAGCTTGTTATACTTTTTATTTTTAAAAAGTATTTGAGGACACACATAGATTGTAAGTGAGGAGACAGAAAAAGGTACTTCATGCAAACAGGAATGACAGGAGAGTGGGGGAGGTCACAATGCTCATATCAGACAAAATAGACTTTAAAACAAAGTCTATAAAGAAAGATAAAGAAGGATATGTGCAATGATTAAAGTATCAATACAGGAAGAGGATATTATAGTTGTCAATTCATATGCACCTAATATAGAAGCACCTAAATACATAAAACATATACCAGCAGACATAAAGGGAGAAATTGATGGGAATAAAACAATAGTAGGAGACTTTAACACCCCATTCAAATCAATGGACAAATCTTCCAGACAGAGAGTTGATAAGGCAACAGAGATCCTAAATGATACAATAGGACTTAATTGATAGTTAGACTTAATTGATATTTTCAGGGCATTACATCTGAAAAAACGAGTACGCATTCTTTTCAAGTGCACATGGACCATGCTCTAAGATTGAGCATGTTCAAGGACTCAAAACAAGCCTCAGCAAATTTAAGAGGATGAAAAATATTTGAAGGCCTATTGTATCAGGCAGAGTGTAATCTATAATACTTCTAAGTATAGATACATAAATGTATCACTTTTTAAATTTTTAAGATTTTGAGTTAATAAAAATTTGGAGGATTTTGTTTGTTTTTGGTATTTGGGGGAGGGTGTCATTTGTCTTCCTGTCCTTGCTGTGATTTGAATAACAGCAGTATAGCTAGAAATCAAGACAAAAACTTCATGAAAACACATGCTGAATCCTTTCCAAAAGTATTATAGTAGTCAGATATAAACCCTAAAGGAAAAGAAAACAAAACCATTATTTTAATGTCATATTTTATAAAGGTGAATTTTCTGTGCACAAATGCTCCACTGTTTCTAAGTGTAGTCTTTAACTTACATTTGTATGGCAATGTGCTTTGCTGGGAGACCTTCAGGAAACTTTGAAGGATTTCTATTGTTCTGATACAATTTCTAACTATATTCAGAAATGTGAATGTTTCTTTTTTTAATCACTAGTCTCTTTGAGAAGTTCCTCTAGACTGTTTCTCTATTCACTGTTTTGTTCAAAGAAATGCCATCCTTTCTAGGCCACAATGCTACAGAATGAAAGTACCCTGAAAAGAAGAACTGAAAAGAATGTCTGTCGAGATGTAAAGCTAATTAAGATTCCTTTTAATTACTCATATTCAACATGCAAGAAAACAAATTATATAGCCAGGCTGCTCATATATGCTAATCTGCTATCATTTAGCTATGGATTTAGAAACAGAAACGTAAATATGATACACATCTGCTGCTCTGTGTTTTCCAGAGAGAATATTTCCTTTTCTCAATCTGAAACAGTCTTCATAATGTGTGTCTTGAGTGTATTAAGGGTCCCAAGAAGTTCCTAAGAAAAAGAAACCTGTTTATAGCTTTGTTCAACCCTACAGTTTCTAAATTTATTTGAGCCAAACTCACTTCTCAAGGAACCCTAGAGTTATATAAAACCTAGTTTGGTGACTGCTGATTCATCAAATTCCAGAAGTTCCCACCACCAATAATTGATACACCAGGTGTGATGTTTACTGTCCTATGTGCACCTTTGTACTAAAGGAGACCCTAAGCTTAGCACCAGATGCCATCTTTAAAGCATCAGAATTTAACAGTATTCTCTTCTATAGTGCATTCTTTTGGTATTTAAGACATAGTACAGCCAGTTTTCCTGTAAAGAGTAGACAGTAAATATCTTAGGCTTCCTGACCAACCCACAGCATCTCCATTTCAGCCCCTCATCCCTGCCTCTGATGTGCATGAGCAGCCATCATCACGGGTAAACAAGGAACATGGCCTTGTGCCAATAAAACTTTATTTGCAAAGGCAAGCAGTGGGCTGGCTTACCCCTATTTTACAGTAATTTGCAATAAAATCAAGAGGTCCCTTGGAACTAAGAATAATAGTCACAAAGGGACATTTTACAAAGAAGAACATAATCAGAAAATCCTGGACTTTTCCATTTAAGTTTTGAGCCACAGGTTTCAGCTTGCCTTCCTTTGAGTTGTGAATGCATGGCTGACTGACATAGGTCTTCTCAAAAATCTTTTTGTTCATTATTGTTTACCAATTTCAGTATCAGACAGATGTTCAGTTTTTATAGATATGGTATAATTTTTCTTAGAAGTAGAGTGGGTCAGATTTTCCTGTAGTTAATGGAAAACCTCACAAGAATGTTGGTTGAACACCACTATCTATGACTAAGCAAGTGTTCTGTGTATAAACTTGGATTTGGTACCAACTTTGTCACGAGCCTTCGAAATATCATTTTACTATTTACAATTCATTACATCAGTACACAAAATCACATGCTGTGTCAAACCAAAAAAATTTTCTTTGTAATGCTTTGAGAGTTCTCCCTTCTCTGACCAAACTGTTAAGTTTATTCATATCACTGAGCAACACTAAAAAGTTTTCATTAATAACATGTGAAAGACAATGATACCACTCTTAAAGCCAGTGGCTGCTGCTGTTTGGTTATAAGGAGAAGCACTAGTTGAATGGTGCAGAGGGATATTTCAAAATATTATGCACCGGCAGTTTTGAGTTTAATTGTCTGCAGATGGTAGATGATCTATGTCCCTTACTCATTGCCACATTTCTAACAGTACCCAGGCTGTTCCGTGTAAATTAGTAATCGTTCATGTAAGCCTGTCCTAATTCTCCAATATTTTTTCTTTGCATCATTTTCCAGCTGTATCATGTTAGAACTGATGTTTTAATTTCCTTTATTTTTTTTCAATATCTGTGTGTCATAAATGTTAACCATTTAAACTCAGCTGCTGAGCCATTCCAGCAAACTAAGCAGCCCGCCTGCTCTGCTTCAAGGCTCTTAATCACTCCTCTGGTCACATGTGAACCTTGATAACCAGAGCAAAGGCAATGATTAGTCTTTTTGTTTTCAACTGGTGTTTTGAGATGCATTTTTTTTTCTTTCATTCCCTGAATGTGACAAAATAAAGTTCCTAAGTGGAAATGCTCTACACAAAACTTAGTGATCAGAGAAATTTCTCTACATAAAAATGTTTTTAGTGAAGGAAGATCGTATTCTCCACAAAGGTGATTTTAGCAAGAAGAGCAAATATTGTGATTTAAGCAGAAGAATTTTAAATAACCAAATACATTTGAAAAGCTGCAAGTTTGGATCATCAGAATTTGCAGTGAATATTTCTATCCTCTCTACTCAGTAGCAGTTAAAGACACTATTGAGCTTAGGTTTTTCTGTAGAGTTAATGTTTTTACTTTTTGCTTTTATTTTCTCCTGTAGTCAATTTAACGAGAATCTCAGCCCAAGCTTGCAACTGTGTCATAGAAAGCTAACTGCCTGATGAAAGCCTGTCTAAGGGAAACAAATTCAGAACAATCAACAGCTGGCTGTGGTGGTTTTCTCTTTTCCTTCTCTTTTTGTTGTTGTTGGAAGAAAGTTGAGACGATGTGATATGCGGACGGAGATTCTCCTTGCTAGCCTAGCTTCAGTCTGGCTTTTTCTTCCCTCATGCATGCTGACCTGGGGATCCTCCTTTGCCATAGCTGCGATAATCGTGACTCAGCTTACGACACCTCATATTCGCATCGCCCCTGCCGCAGGCGACGACCAGCTGACAGGTCAGACGTTCAAGTACAGACGAGTCATCTTGCCCATCTCCTGCTCATTCTGCTCAGCTTTGTCTCCCCTCTGCATCTCCTCCTTCGCTTTAAGGCTCGTTGATAGTGTCTCCGACTCTCGGTGCCGACGTGTGCCCGCGTTGATGCCGTGGTGTGCTCATTGTTCTGTATGCACTTGTGTCCCCTGCATCCAGCACAGCCCCGCCGCATGACCTCATTGTCTGTCTGTCTGTCTGTCTGTCGGTATGCTCCTCTCTAGCTTAACGTTATACGGAATGAAATTTGCTGGATTTGCCACAGTAGTGCCATCAAAGTCGATCTCTATCAAAACACATAAAGATGTTTCCCCAGTTATCCACGTTAATCTAGAAATGCGTCGAGATTTGAGCATGAGAGGTCTGTTTGCACCTTGCAGGGTCTAGTTTGCACACGCATTTAGCAATCCACAGGCTTGTCTGCCTTCATTTAATGAAGCCACTCAAAACTGTTTGGGTGACGCCATTCAGACGGCTTTTTGAGTTCCCACCAGTAGAGCAGAGTCGATTGCATTCCTAACAGATCCTTGTTTCAAAGCACACTGTTTATAGACAGCAGAGACAAATCTGCAAGTCAAATGCACTGAATAATTTATGGAAGTTTTTAAAAAATTGAATGGCTGAGAGTCGCATAATTGAACTGCATGCTTCTTTATACCAGGAAGAGTTAGCTTGTCCATCCCTCTAAAGGTGTGTGGACAAACACATAAACTCCCATAGGAAAGGAATCCGGTAGATTCCTGCACATCAAAGGTGAGTAGTTAGAGCATACCAGAAGATTAGCTTTGGCCCTGCAAGATAAGCGCGCCATCATCAAGATTTCTAATACCGTCACGTGGGCAGGACTCTTAAGTCTGCTTTCAGAGCATCACCAGTGTGGGAGTTCATTGCATGAGTTGTAGGCATGACGCAAGCCAAGTAAGAAACACAGCTGCTCTCCGTAGGATTTCCCATTCCTGCAACTGTTTTGTGTGTATGAAATTAAGGAATATACCCTACCATTCAGGGGGAAAAAAAAGTAAAGCTTAACTCATAGTAAAAATTTTTGGTAGAGCTTTAAATTGTTCTGTGAGCTTAGTATTTTGGAAAATCAAGCCACTGAGACTCAGGAAAACTATAGACTGCTTTTTAAAGAAATGTAGGATAATTTTACCTCTTTCCCTGCTGTAATTCCATACGTATTTTCAGGACTCTGTTTCAGAGCCTAAAGGCTATAAACTTGTTAACAGTTCTGCTGCCCTGGCTTTCAAGTTTCTTTTAAGTGGGTTTCTTTTACTGGCTGAAGTTCTGATTGTTGCAGACACGCTCTTATCCTGAATGTGTGACGTGTTCCTCCCAACAGTAAATTTCCTTAGGGAATCATGTCTTTTCTTATATAGATCTTCTCCTCCAAAAACCTTTACATGTCAGGCCTGGCCCATGGTTCTCTGCATAGGGTTCAGTGTCCATCACCTGGAAGGTAATCTAGGCTCTTCAGCAAATCTGACTGCCCTGTTGTCTGAGTTGGCACCAGTCTGTTGCCAGCAAACATTACAAAGAGGTCAGCTCTGCTATTGTAAAACCAGTACCTGTAGGAAATACAGTTAAATAACCCTTTTTGAGATTTTCCCAAAGCCACTACCTTTGAATTTAGCACATTGTTTACTAGGAATGAAGTAAGGGACATTTTGAATATCACGCTCTTTCTAAAACTTGCATGATTAAGAAGACACCTCATTAATCAGCCTCTTTCACAAGGCTTTCAGATCCAGGGCACCTTATTATTTTGGAACTAGTCTGCAGGGAAAACAGACATAGCTGAAGCATATGGTAACCATCCTTTTAAGGGCTGCAGGTGATCACCAACATTTGCTTTGGTTTATGAGGGATGAAAATGGCGGAGTGTTGAATAAGCCCCCAAAACTAGTGCAGAACTACTCCTGTCATTTTTTATAGTACTCCCTGCTGCTGTTGTTGATGGTTCCTCTTACCCAGATAAATTCAGGCTCAATTAATTTTTTTTGTTTTTCCATTTGCATCAGCCATCCATTGGATAGCAAGTAGCTTCTGTTCTCTGTCTTTTTTAATAGATTTATTCATGAGTTGTACTGCAAGCTTGAGAGCTCACTCATTCAATCACTGATCGACATTAACCAAGCACCTTCTGTGTGCCAGGTCAAGGGAGGGCACTGACTCCCACAAATACATTTACTTTCAAGGGTTGCCCAGACTTTTGGCATCAGATGTATCTGCACATGTGACACCAAAACCTACACACACAGGCTTTTATGGATGAAAAATGGCTCTCACACTTGTTGCACAGTTGAGAAGAGGCAACAGCTTTGTAACAACGGGGGGAACAGACATGAATTTCGAAGTCTTTCTTGTGGTGTTGAGTTGCTTAGAAAATGGTCCATGGGACTCTTCTGAATCTTTCATATCTCTGACGCAGTGTTTACCAGACCAGTGCAGGCCCTTCCAGAAGTCAGCAGGAAATCACAAGGGATGCATTCTGAATGATGTCTTCAGCAGTTTTCTGGTCCGTTTTGTTTTAATTGTAATGATGTTTTGCTCCTACAAATGCTGCCGGATGCTGTATGTAGAGGAAACTGTGATAAGACACTGATTCTTCCACAGCCTGGATCCTGGGATATAATCCATGTGACTTGGTCCAACTCAGTGTATATAGTATGCCCCCTTCCTTCTCTAGCACAGAGAAGCAACCCGATAACCTGACCCCAGCCATGTCACTGGGGGTCCATGTCAGACACAAACAAATAGCCCATGAATGCTAGCTGGTTTAATTCACTGAATGAATGGAGCTCAGATGCAGGATGCTGGTCTGGCATCGTGCTGGGGCTGTTTCTTAAAAATTTTTGACTCAGTCAGCTGTAAGAATGCCTCACCACCAATATACACATGGACACAGACATTTAACCGAAGCAAAAGATTTAGAAACTGCCTACCAGTGCTGCTCCCTGGATAAGCTGCACTCTGATCTGTTCTGTTCTGTCCCATCTTATTCTATTTTATCTTTAAAAAAAAAAAATAGTTGCTACCTACTAAGCTGATTTCATTTCCCACTAATGGGTTATAACCCACAGTTTTAAAAAAAATGAAAACAATGCTTTTCTAAACCACTATAGTTAGGGAACTGTGAAAGGGAACAGAATATATAATTGGAATAAAGGTCCTGTCTTACCTCAAAATTCATACTCTAATGAGAGCAGACAGAGAAAATTCTAGAAACTGGAAATGCTTCTGCTTTCTACCTGCTTCTCTTAGTTCCTTTATTAATTGTCTGTAATGTAGAACTGCTTTGGGAAGAAAATAACAACTGCACATGCTAGATATTTCTCCTTAAGATTTTTTTTTTTACTTCACTTTATAAATAACTCTAGGCTGTTTATTTTATATTAAGATATTTCTGTTTAGGATTTAAAACCCTGGTCAGCTCTGAGATGCTGTGGAGAATGAGTTTCTTCAACAAACACTTTTTATCATCTGTTTTGGTTAAGCCTGACATCTTAAAATGATAAGATCCATATAGTAGAGTGTTTATAAACAAAGTGACTTCTGGGATTTGAGTACAATTGAGATATGTCAGACCATGGAGAATTATTTGCTAGATATTATTAGTACTAAAATAATAGAGAACTAGCTGACGGTTATTTATACATGAAATTTGAAGTTTTGAAAAAGATTCATGTACCAGATGTCTCTATTGTCAAAGATAAACACAGCCCAACATCAGCCAAAGTGGTGGAAACAGATTTTATTCAGTAACTACTAACTTGGAAGGGACTGAGCTGAGCTCCAGTCTGAATTGCTCAGAGGTGACTGGGACTTTACAGGGAAGATGAGAGAGTGGAGAGCAGGTGATGGGGACTCAGTAGGGTCAGGGAGATGAGACGTTGGTCCATGTGACACCATTCAGCACCTTCTGATTGGCGTCTGTCAGGCTTCTCTTGTCACACAGAAGCTAGGAGCTGGGACCCTGTCCTCAGGGGTCTCTGGAATCCATAGTCAGTTCTTCAGTCAGCCTTGAGTTTCTGAGGCAGGCACTTTGAGGGGCCTAGAGTTCCCAAGGGATGCAGCCTTGAGCTGTTAGAAATTATGTTCGTCTTTGTTCAAGTCTTTTCTCTGTGGGCCCAGGTGGGCGCCTGGTGGTAAGAGACTCAAAGGAGCCTCCTGGCGTTTCGTCCCAGGGCAGCATCCTTGTCACTCGCCCTCCTTCCCGAGGGAGCAGCAGTGACTCGCTGGACTGGTGACACATGGAAAAAGACATGAGAGTGTGTGATCAGCCTTTTCTGGACATCATCCTCAGGACATACATGTTCCTTTGTGTCAGAGGGACTCAGAAGAGCCTGGCTAGGCTTTGGCCATTGAGAGAATCTTTGTCAGTATATCAACAAAGCTCTCATGGAATAAGCCCCAAGGAATTTCTCTTTCTCCTTCATGTGACTCTTAAAGCAGAGAGAGATCTTTTTTTAATGTCACATATACCACATGGATGCTTTTGAACTGTGGTGCTGGAGAAGACTCTTCAGAGTCCCTTAGGCAGCAAGGAGATCGAACCAGTCAATCCTAAAGGAAATCAACCCTGAATACTCATTGAAAAGACTGATGCTGAAGCTGAAGGTTCAATACTTTGGCCACCTGATGCAAAGAGCTGACTCATTGGAAAAGACCATGGTTCTGGGAAAGATTGAGGGCAGAAGAAGAAGGGGGTGACAGAGGATGAGATCATTGGATGGCATCACTGACTCAATGGACATGAGTTTGAGCAAACTCAGAGACATGGCCGACTCAATGGATATGAGTTTGAGCTAACTCAGGGAGATGGTGAAGGACCTGGAAGCCTGGCGTGCTGCAGTCCGTGGGGTCGCAAAGAGTCAGACACGACTGAGCAGCTGAACAACATGTAACACATGGAAGCTAGTGAAGCAGGTCCCCACTGAGGAACGAAGAGGCTGCAGTGTTTGT